ACCATTTCATTTCATAATCTTTTTTCTTCTTCTAATCGTGAGGGGGGGGGGGATAGGGAAGGGCTTCATCGGTGACGTAGCCTAGGGCCTTTTCTTCATCTAAATCCGGCAATGCTAGTTATGTCCTCCGTCCTGCACCACTGATAAGAGAACCACACTGGAAAATACAGAGGAATTTGATGTAATTAGGGCACAGATGGAGATGTTTATATTTACAACCAGATGTCAACTGTGATAATGTCAAAGGACACAGATCTGTCTGCTAGCACAGGGGCGTGCTAGCCCCGAAGGCAACAACGGGAAACGCGTTTTGCAAGCACTTCTGGGAGAAATCTAGGTATCATATTTTCCAAATTTATGCTGCTATTTTGACTATAAGACATACTACTGTATTACACAAGACACTCATGAGAGGTCTGCTTAATATAATGCTAATACAATGTATTTCTATCAAAATAATAAATTGCATCTTATACATATCGAGGCATGAATACATGTATCAAAGACCATTCCACCTTAAGGTGACAGACATTTACACGTCAGCATAATATATTTTACTAATCGTTGTGTATGTATGATTTTTCGCGTGCGCACTCTCAATTTTTTGAGGGGATTCCGCGTGAAAATTTGAGCTCTCAGGGGGGCCCGCTTATACGGGTGGACTTATTGTTTAATGGGGGCCTGGGAGGACACCGTCCTCCTAAACTCCCTGCCAGCACGCCCCTGTGCTAGCATCAAACGGCAATATTCCATAAAATGCGCATCAAATTTACTAATGGTCAAAGGGAGATAATTCTGACACTTCAAAGGAATGAGTCAGCGATGTCGAAATCATTTTGTGACAACTTCATAAAGGTTATGTTCATTATAGTGCTATCGGGGCAGTTCCTCGGTCATTTAAAAGCGGCTATGACAATATCGTTCGTGAAATGAAAAGGTCCATTAGGTAGAAGCTGTGTTATTTCATTCACATATCTGACAAATTCTCTGTTTACTGTTATTTATAGTTTCGTTTTGAACTTTACCCACATGAAATAATGGATTTATTTCTCTCACTTAATTTCTTCCTGCTGGATCACGTCAAACTCACCCTCATTGATATATTCTTAAAGGAGCTAAATCACTAATTTTTGGGACCTAGAAATTAACACAAATGGTTAGCAACGAATATAATAATGTAATATGAATGTATATAAACTTATTTACATTCAATCGTTATGTTCTGCGAAATACGCCAAAAGTCTCAGTCGAATGGCAATCTCTAGCGTCTGGTTATTTTAATCTACACCGATAGTATTTATTGCGCATGCTTTCCAGATAAGAATATGGCGTCATCGTTTGACATGACTGGTGGAATATGTCTAGCCTCGTTCTTCGAGTCTCTTGTTGCAAATGGCGCTGAAACCCATTATGGTAAAATGTTTATTTTGTCTTAAATATTGGATATCAGAAGTCCATCTTTTCCCGGTAAGATCACAGCATCAATGTTAATCTTTATTGATAAATGATTCGAGTTGTCAGTGTCGAAGACTTTGGATGATATTGAGTAATTCGAGACTTAGCTACTTTAAGGCGTGAATGAAATGATATGATGTCCTATACTTTTCTGTAAGAGCCGCGTGAAAGACGTTCCGGTATTTTAGGTCATGAAGTTTGCTATAGGGTAAGATGTTGCTACCGCCTACTACTCTTACATCGAATTCCAACTGCCAAGGGATCTTTTACGTGCACACCAATGTGTACACGGAACCTCAGGTTTTCGTCCCTTGCCAGGCCTACACTTCAGTGATAAGGGGAAACCATGAAAACCACGTTGTAAAATCCCGAGGAACGTTCTCAGCCTAACACTGGGAGAGAGAGAGAGAGAGAGAGAGAGAGAGAGAGAGAGAAATGGGGTTTAACGTCCACTCGACACAAACTAGGTCATTTCGGGACTAACATATGGTTTAATTTTATTTCAATAATTCGCTTGTGCGTAGGGGTCTTTAGCAGTGGGAGGAAACCGGAGGACCCGGAGAAAACCCACGAGGTTGGACAGGCGACCCCCCCAACACTGGGAGCGAAACCGAGACATGAGCGAGCCAGTGCCTTACTCGCCGAGTCATCGCGGGTCCCTATTTTTAAATCCATGGCAAAAACAAAGAAATGGGGTTTATCGTCTTACTTTTTTGTACTTACCGGGATAATGAAGACGGGTTTAGTAGTTATTGCGTCATCGTGTGCTTTGGAGGGAAATGCCCGGGTAGTACTTCAATTTCCAAATCTCGTGTGATCTTTTACCATACTAAACTTACGCTGTCTACAAACAGTCACCAAGCTGGTTGATAGACATTTAAAGTCCTAAATCGACGATTTTAAGTCCTAATTCGACGATTTTAAGTCCTAATTCGACGATTTTAAGTCCTAAATCGACGATTTTAGTCTAAAACGCTAGTTAAGTATATTTTGGGAATAAATTGAAAGGGGTAAATTAGTCCTTTGTGTATGGCAGCTGTGAAACGGAGTAGAACCGCATTACAAAACAGTATACTACTTTTTGGATATGGCGGTCATTTAGGACAGGGATCTATTCCCGACGTATGAAGTAGATGGATCTCTGTGTGCAGAAAATTCTCGGGTAGTACTTCAATTTCCTACTATCGCGTGTTGTGAACGATACGGGAACTCGGGCTTTCCCACCATCGGAACAACCAGACGTTTTTCCTTGCCAGACTTTTTCTGCAGAACGCTGTGGTAAAAAAAAACTGAGAAGGGATTACGACCAAGGAATGTATTTACACCATCACTACTTTTAACCCGTTTTTTTTTTTTTTTTTCTTTGGGTATTGGTATGAAGGTGGGTATTTTGTGATTGTAATTTTATTATATATTTGGTCTCGGTCATCCAGAACTTCCCAGTTGATGAAGTTGGGTATACGCCAAGCAGTGTGCTATGAGGGAAATTTTGCCTGGAAGTCGGCGCTACGGCCTACTTTTATTTCGAATTACAATTCAAAGGTTATTTTATAATGTTTTTTTTTATAATTTTGTTCAATGACTCAGATTTAGATAATGTAATAATTGCTCGGAGCGAATACGACTAGCAACGTATGAAGAGAGGGAGAGAGGGGGGGGGGAGAGAGAGGGAGAGAGATGGGGTACGCCCTCTTGACATAAAATAACATTTGGTTCGACTTTATTTCGCGTAGGGATATTTAACTTGAGGGGGTGGGGGCATGGGGATCGGACGACCCTATACTAAAACCTATGAGGTTGGACAGACTACCCAGCTCCTTGCCACTTGAATCAATTACAGACCTTATGATATAAAGCGGACGCATTACATCATTCCACCATCCAACCCTCTCTAATCATACATGACATTTAATTAAATTTAAATATTCAATTTCAGTAATGCATTTTATGCAATAATCCAATAACTATTAGTTTCTAGGTAATACCTAATCCTGCAATTATCCGTTAATCTCCGATTTAAACGATTCGTTTGATGTTGAATTATCGCACGATTTCACGATAAACTGTTGGCATGTATCTAATTGTCCTAATTGAAATAAACTATATGTCGTGATGGAGCAATCAGAGAGAGAGAGAGACAGAGAGAGAGAGAGAGTAGATCATTTCGTGACCAACACATGGTTCAATTTTATTTCAAGAGAGAGGGGTCTTTTGCTGTAGGAGGTAACCGGTGGTGGGGGGCGAAGAAAACTCGGGATGTATGTCAGGCACAGGCGCGGAATCGAAACCACGCCACTTGACTCAATGGCAGGCCTTACACCCCCCCCCCCCCAACAATTAAATTTAAATATTCAATTTCAGTAATGCATTTATGCAATAATCCAATAACTATTAGTTTCTAGGTAATACCTAATCCTGCAATCTAATCCGTTAATCTCCGATTTAAACGATTCGTTTGATGTTGAATTATCGCACGATTTCACGATAAACTGTTGGCATATATCTAATTGTCCTAATTGGAATAAACTATACATCGTGATAGAGCAGAGAGGGAGAGAGAGAGAGAGAGAGAGAGAGAGAGTAGATCATTTCGTGACTAACACGTGGTTCAATTTTATTTCAAGAGAGAGGGGTCTTTTGCTGTAGGAGGTAACCGGCAGGCCTTACACCCCACCCCCCCAAAAAAAATTAACATTAAACTCTTCTTTCATATTATTTTGATTATTTCTTTTTACGTTGGTCTAACAACATCACTAAAGAGTTTGAATTCAATAATTGATCCGACTTGGCCTGACCTTTCATCCAACCAATGAATAGACGCTTTGACTTTGAGAAGGATGTTTAGAACCAATCACATTGGCTATAACAAGACTGTGTGGAGGCAAACCAAAATTAAAAGAGCGTCGAAATAAAGGTAACATTATGTCTGTGATATCATCATCGGTGGTATTATAGCAGACGTTGAAGAGGGGAGAGAGAGAGAGATGGGGTTTAACGTCCACTCGACACAAACTAGGTCATTTCGGGACTAACATATGGTTTAATTTTATTTCAATAATTCGCTTGCGCATAGGGGTCTTTAGCAGTGGGAGGAAACCGGAGGACCCGGAGAAAACCCACGAGATTGGACAGGCGCCCCTACTCCTTGTCACGTACAACCGGGGATTCGAAACCACGCCAGTCGACTCAATGACAGACTTTATGATACAGCGCGCGCACGCTAACCATTCAGCCATCCAACCCCCCACGTTGAAAAGGATGAAAAAGATAACATTTTAATCAGATAATTATGTTCCCGAGCAAGACATATTTTGGGCCCACTCCCACACCAGTGCAAAAATTGGGTTTCGAAAGTTACACCCATGCATGCCAGAGCAGGACAAGGGGAACGGATCGGGGGTTCTACGGCACTAATACCGGCCTTGTCCACGTAAGTAAAAACAATGAATGGGGGGGGGGGCTTCATAATCCCCGGAGTGATGCACCAGATACAGCCCTATCTCCTTGCACCTTGCCGGTAAACCTGTAAAATATAATGGACTCACCTTCAGCTGTTCCAGTGGACGAATTCGGCAGTCTTATTAGAATTAAAAACTACAGTTTCAATCGGGAGATTTTTTTTCTTTTTTGAATTATCCAGAAAATAAATCCAATTTAGTTTTATGTATCTTGATAGGCACATAGAAAGAAAATCACCACGAAATGCGCCCTGCACCATTCAGATATGAAATTTATGTGACTTTCTTTTTTAAAATCCAATTTGCTTGCACATCACCGTTGTATTATTCCGCTCATGTCCACGTTCTTGTATGACACCATTAACGAACAATTTCTACTTTTATACGACAAACGGGCTATTCAAATTATGTTTGTTTTTATATTTAGCGTTTTCATTGATAATAAATTTTATCTTTCGGTCGTTTAAAAAGCGCCTTCGCTGAATTTTAGTTGTTTTCCGGCACACGACGAAAACCACATCTTCTTTCATTTACTGTCTTGTACTTTTCTCTTTTTTTATATAGCTATATTTGTGTTATTTTTTGATTTAGTATATTGTTTTAAAAAAATGTCTATTTGTGGTGAGGTTTCCGCCTTACAATCAAGGAGTACGCTAATCTTATTATAGAGTCTCCCGTGGTTTGGCTTTTTGTAACAGTGTGACAGACATTTTTAAAACTAAACATGTCCAATACAAGAAAAAAAAATAATTGTCATATATTGTTTCTATATTAATTGTGATTTGAAACGCCAAATGTGAAAGCGGCGGTTTATATAGAATGTAGATATAATTGAAGGGGTAACGCCTTTTTTTATGATAATACGTTTGTGACGTAGTTTTTCCTTTTGGAATTTGAGCAGTAAACGTGTGATAGTGACAAAAAGTACATCGGAAATTGGGATTAAATTATAAAAGGACATTGTTGTGGTGTGAATGTTTTTGGTTTTATTTATATATGTCGGTACAAAAAAATAATAAATTAAATTGTAACGTCTTGCTTGCTGCACCATCCGGGATGATAAAGCAGGGGTAAACGCCATGTCAACATGAATAAAATACAGATCTATATTTCATTTCGTTTTTTTTATACTTTCGATGGCCTTAACTATAAGTAAAAAGACATTATGAACTATAAATAACGAAACAGGGTCTGTGTTTTAATCGGACTGCTATGTAGCGCGTTCTGTGGGAGATGGGGGGGGGGGCGTTGTGGGTACTATGTATGGAAGACTAAATAGTTCATTGTAATTGTCTCTTTGGTATCAAAAGGTGTCGGAAATGCCGTCGAATAACTCTACGGTCAGCCATCTTTTTCAAGCAGAAACAGATTTAAGGTTGGTAAGCAAGCTGTATACTATGTATGGAAGACCAAATAGCTCATTATTCACTGTTCTTCATTCTTAGTCTTTCTTCATTTGTTGTCGTATTTCAACATTTGTATACTAAAATTTATATTTGTATCTTAAAATCGATATTTGTTTAACAAATCAGACATTTGTCATATCAGATTTGCAAATTGTATCTTTGTTTAATTTAAATTTATTTTAATATAATGATAAAATTTCTTTGAGAAAATCAAAAAATGACATTTACATTTGGCTAAGTAAGTAAGGTACTGGAAGTCGCGAGTTTGATCCCAGTATTAGCCAACAAAGTTCATCGGGATTTTCTGGCGTGGTTCCCCCCTGTCAGTGGTGTGGGACGGAGTGTCTGACAAGGACAGGTTTCTAGACATTTTTTTTATGTTTTTAGGTAAGCTATTTAGGTTAATTTATATGACCTGTCATTTAAAGACTATGACCTCTATTTATTAAAACACCTTTATTAATTGGTAACTGTGAAAACGAATTAAATGTTTTAACAGATCATTAATTATTAAAACACCTTACTGGTAACTATTAAAACAAAAATATTTTTAAACAGTTCGCTAATTTATAACAACACTTACTCGTAACTATTAAAACAAATTAAATATTTAAACAGTTTGCTTTTAAATTATTTAATCGTTATGAAATTAAAAATGTATTTAGTTACCTCAGATCCGAGGCAGGGCGGTCGGTAATTTTTCACAATTGATTAGCAAAAATGTCCAATTTTGCAAATTTGATTAGCAAATTTAAAAATTGATTAGCAGTTTTTCAGTTTCACTACGGCCTACTCTTATGTCGAATTCCAACTGTCAAGTTATTTCTTTTAAAAAATGCATTCACTGCAAGTGGAAATGATTAACAGCACGATTTCAATCTGGATAAAACATGAAAATTGCACAACCATTTTATATAACCAATTGGTTACGCAATGGTCATCTGGCGTAACCAAAGAAAATGGTTATGCAGAGCATAAACCCGCAACCATTTTTCTGGTTACGCCAAAATTTGAAATTTCGTGGCCTACATTCAGATGTGACAAAAAGAAAACGATGTCCCGTATTGGCATACACACAAAAGATCCCTTGGCAGTTTGATTCGATGTTAGAGTAGGCCGTAGTGCCGCTGTCCGGACAAAATTTCCCTCATTGCAGACTGTATGGCGTATGCCTGTCTTTGTCTGCGATATCACCTCAGTGGAAGCGGACGTAAAAGACACAGTATGCCTGTCTTCACTAGCCCAGTCTGAGCAGAACAGAAGGACTTTAAAACCCATTCATTACATTTCATTTCTGACCAGGGCCGGTTGTAGAAAATGCGGGATCCAATTCATTCATATTCAAGGCCAACTATGCTCTACTGCAACATTAGTAATTGAGTAATACCTGAAAATAGCCACACCTGGCAGTCCTGACAGATTTCCTGAAAAATGTTTTAGTTGGGGAGCCACAGGGCCCCTTTCTAGTGCGGGGCCCAATTTAAGGAAATTGGTCAAATGTGCCAAAAACGGCCCTGGCTAAATTGATGCACCGACTGGGCTAATGAAGACCTGTCCAACCTCGTGGGTTTTCTCTGGGTCCTCCGGATAACTCCCTCTGCAAAAGACCCCTACGCGCAAGCGAATCATTGAAATAGAATTGAACCATATGTTAGTCCCAAAATGACCTAGTTTGTGTCGAGTTGACGTTAAACCCCATTTCTCTCTCTTTCTCTAGATGAAGAGACACCCTGCTATTCCGCTCATGGGGCTCCTTACAATCTCTCATTCTCACGACTGAAGTAAGAAGAAAGTGTACTTTAAACACAATTAAGTAAAGCCGAGGTTATTGACGGATGTTTAGATAGATTTATTGGACCAAAACATCCATTCAGGGCAGCATAGAATACGAACAAAATATATAAATAATACGAGAATACTGCAGTGTGTGTAAGAATTAAGGCATATTACAATGCATATAGTCGTTCGGATGGAACAAAAATCTTTAATTGAATGAAATAGGGTTTAACGTCCTACTTTTCTGCTCTGACTGGGCTAATGAAGACGGGCATATGCCATACAGTGTGCTATGGGGGAAATTTTGTCCGGGCAGCGGCACTATCGCCTACTTTTATATCGAATTCCAACTGCCAAGGGATCTTTTACGTGCATTCCAATGTACACGGGACCTCGGTTTTTCGTATCATCCGAAGGACTAGTCAACTGTCCTTGTTAGGCCCTCCGTTCTGCACCACTGACAAGGGGAAACCACGTCGGAAAATCACGATGAACTTTCTCGGCCAATGATATATATGCAGTATGCACATACAAGTTAAAAGTAAATAAAATAAATGAATTATATAGTGAAAGAAAAAAAGAAATATTTATGCTACAATTTTATTCACGTGAAAACCCCATGATTATATTTTCTGACTGTTGATCGAGAAGACGTGGATTATTATTATAAGATACGATTTTTTAATTAAATTAAAATTGTATATACAATGTATCTCATAGACCATTTCATGTACCATATACTGTATTTCATTTATATAAATAAAAATAAAATGTTAGCGCATATAAAAAAAATAATACAGAAAGAACAACCGCCGCTTTAAATAGCCTTTTACGACCAGACTCTTTGTTTAACTGTAGTATCTATTCTTCGGCATTTGTGATACAAAAGGCTACATTTGCGGGAACGTATGGATCATAATATGGCGGAAGATGGTGCAAAAACTGAAAATCATACGGATTTATATGAATCTCCTGACAGGTATAAGCTTTTGATGTCAAGTAGATAAACTGATAATCTGACAGTTAATCAGAGATTAGCATCATGTACCTTTATGGCTTTAAATAACACAGTTGTTTGGCAAAGAGCTTTTAAACGGCAAATTTGAATGTAGTTTTTTCCAGCAAAGGGAGACAACTTGATTTGTTTACGTTTTTCCACTGCATTATTTCGACTTTTTTGTTATAAAATTTTGTGTCAGCATTTTAGAGTCTGTGAATAAACATTTAGCCCTAGCCCCAAAAACTCCCAAGAAATGGAGAAAAAAAAAATTAAAATCCGTCCATATTAAAATGGATTTGGGCCAAGTTGTCAATTTCTGGACTTTGGACTGGTTGGATTCTATATTTTGTCTTTTGATTTGTCTTTTTGGGATGACAGTTTGTGTTTTAGTGATAAAATAAAATTATCTTTTGAAATAAATATTGAATCGTTTCATGGGCATTAAAAATAGGACTTATAAAGATCTTGCCCGATCAACTACATGAAAATCCGGTATACAGACAACTCATCCCAAAGACAGCTCGTCTCAAGACAACTCATCCCAGTGAAAAACTAAAATTATCTTTTGAAATAAATATTGAATCATTTCATGGGCATTAAGTAGGACTTATAAAATCTTTCCCCATCAACTTCATGAAAATCCGGTATACACTCAGAAAACTCATCCCAAAGACAGCGCATCCCACAATAACTCATCCCAATATAGGAACTTTTACGTGTGACGTATTTCCGGTGTCTATTGAGTCAACTGGTACGGATTCGATTCCCCGGTTGTATGTGACAAGGAGTATGGTCGCCTGTCCAACCTCGTACATGTAGGTTTTCTCTGGGTCATATACGGTTTCCTCCCACTACTACAGACTCCTAAAAGGCACATAAATTATTGAAATTAAAATGAAATAAAAATGAAATGGGGTTTAACGTCCTGAATTATTGAAATAAAATTGAAACATGTGTTAGTCGGAAATGATGTAGTTTCTCTCCTCTCCTGCAATGTCGATGACTGTGGATGATATCGAGTTAAAGACTTGCCTCCTTTAAAAAAAAACGGGGGTTGGATGGCCGAATGGTTAGCACATGCGCGTTGTATCATAAGGTCTGTCATTGAGTCAACTGGTGTGGTTTTGATTCGCCTGTCCAACCTCATGGGTTTTCTCCGGGTCCCCCGGTTTCCTGCCACTATTACTATTAAAGAACCCTATGCACAAGCAAATTATTGAAATAAAAAATTGAACCATGTGTTAGTCCTGTAAATAAATTGCTAAATATAATAGATAAATGAGATAATACAAGTATATACATGTCACTCAGTCTAACCTCGTAGGAGTTGGTAACAATCTGATTAAAACACAGATACTGCTTCGTTTTGTTTAGTTTTTATAGTTCAAAATTTCGTTTAATATGTCTGTACTACACTAGGATCTGGAAGAGTTGTTACCATTGACGTGTTCTGAATGATGTGAGGAATTAGCCAATGAAACGGTCTGTTACGGCAAGCTTTAGGAGGGTTTTGCACGGAACTGTGGGCAATCCACTAGTAACATCAATGCTGATTCAGCTGATTGGTTAATCAAATGTCTGACATCATAGGGTCAAAAGCCGCTCGGATGACCTCTGAAGCGACCTATCACTACAACCAGTCAGATATACATGTAGTGTAGGCAGGACTGCCGACAACCAGTATCACAGCGCAATTTGCGATGCATATTTTGTCCGTTGCTAATCAAAAATTATAATCAAACGTTAATTCGATCACTTGCATTGTCCGAGAAAGTTCATCCAGATTTTCCGGCGTGGTTCCCCCTTGTCAGTGATGCAGGACGGAGGGCCCGACAAGGACAGCTGTCTAGTAGTTCGGATGTTATGAAAAATCGAGGTCCCATGTACACATTGGCGTGCACATAAAAGATCCCTTGACATTTGGAATTCGATATAAGAGCAGGCCGTAGTGCTGCTGTCCAGGTAGAATTTCCCTTATAGCACACTGTATAACTATGCCCCTCCTCATTAGCTCAGTTGGAGCAGAATAGTAGGACGTTAAACCTCATTTCATTTCATTTTCTGTCCAGGCCAATTTCGTTTCCAGAGCATATCACAAGATATCTTTATGAACCTGTTATAGTAATTGTGCCTTTTGCTGATTAGAAATTCTTTTCGGTTTAATCATGGTTGTGTTTCCTTGGAGACAGGGAGTTGGGTGGTCCAGTGATCTAACACATATGCTATAGATCATAAGGTCTGTCATTGAATCAAGTGGCGATTTTTCGATCTAAAGATTCTACATGACAAGAAGTAGTGTCGCCTGTCCAACCTCGTGGGTTTTCTCTGGGTCCTCCAGTTTCCTCCCATAGATAAAAACCCTTACATGTATGTGCAAACGAATTATTGAAGGTATACCCTAGGTTAGTGCTCTCTCTCTCTCTCTCTCTCTCTCTCTCCAGGAAAACAAATATGAGTAGTTTTTGGTATACAATTTTTATTCAGGAGCATAAATAAATGCTTTAGCCTTTTAATCAAAATTGCAGGAAATCGAAATTTAAACTTCGACTCCCCACTAAGACCAGAAAAAGAATAATAATAATCTTAATAAAAACAGGTTTTTTATACTGAACGGCTTAATCCGAATAATAATATGCAGTGTGAAATACTAATAATGAATTCTGACAGTTCTGCATAAGATATATAGTCAGTATAAGAGGCGGAAACTGTGTAACATACCGCAACACTTGATACCATACCCTCGATATTTGATAAAAGATGCCTAGGCCTACTTGGCTAAGCCTACACCGTGTGTCTCAAACTGATAACAAATTGTTGTAAATTCACTCCTGGATGAAGATATTAAACATAATCACTTATTAAAAAAAAAAGAAAAAAAAGTTTAAATCGAAACAAGTAACAGTAGGCCTACACTGTGTCAAACTCAAAAGTGTCATTCCCAAGTACATAATTTTTTTTCTCGAAAATTTACTCATGGATGAAGTCATTAAACATATCTATACAAATTAATAGTCCGGGAGCTAGGTAGGTTTTGTTCAACATGGAAGGTGCGGGAGGTTTGTGATGCTGCTTGTGTATGGCTGGGTTAGGAGACCCCAGAAACCCAATTCTTAAGTTGCGCCAGTGGTGGGTGTGGTAGCAGGAGCCACCCATAGTACCCCCCAATATTGGTTTATTCAACATGGAAGGTGCAAGTGCCACTTCAATGGCATTTGATAGAGGAATGTGCCCTGAATTAGGAAATATAACTTAAGAATGGGATTTTTGGTTGAAAGGCCATTTAAGAGGTCAAAGGTCACCAATTAGCAATTTTTCGAATTTACTCCAAATTATGTTTCCATTATCTCGTGATCTATTCCAGGTATATTACACAAAACTACATGGACATTTTTTATACTGCTAGGAACAAAAATATGAGACATAAAATTAATGAAGTTTTAGCTAAAAGTATGACACAATCTAAAAAATAACGAAAATATCAGGTGACCCCCTTCGGTAATTAAAATGTTAATCAATATGAAAGGTGTGAGTGAGAAACCAAGGTTAAAATGTACGGAATGATATCAGAAATCATTATCATCAACTTAAGAATGAAATTTCTGGTGGACAGTGTACTTACATGTAAATGAAATGAAATGAAATGGAGTTTAACGTCCTACTGTTCTGCTCCTAACCTGGGCTAATGAAGACGGGCATACGCCATACAGTGTGCTATGAGGGAAATTTTGCCCGGACAGCGGCACTACGGCCTACTCTTATATCGAATTCCAACTGCCAAGGGATCTTTTACGTGCACGCCAATGTGTACACGGGACCTCGGTTTTTCGTCCCATCCGAACGACTAGACAGCTTTCCTTGTCAGCCCCTCCGTCCTGCATCACTGACAAGGGAGAACCACGCCGGAAAATCTGGATGGACTTTCTCGGCCAATGCAGGGATCGAACACCAGACCTCCAGGCTAGCGAGCTAGCGTCTTACCCACTTAGCCACGTGATCCCCCAGTGTACTTAAGAAGAGAATAATGCTCAGCTGGTTTGTACCGAATGCCCCTAATTAGAAATTTAATAAACATGAAAGGTGTAAAATGTAGGGAATGATCATAGGATTCACAACCACTAACTTAAGAATGAATATTTAGGTGGTAAATGAACTTAAGAACAGCAGATACATGTATGACCAATAACCTTAAAATATCAGTGACAAGCAGTACAATATGCTTACAATGCTAAATTTCCTCTTGATCTCTATCAGGTAGTAACAGTGATACATTAGTTACCGCCTACTTCCTTCATACTAAAAGTCATTTAAAACATAAATTATGCAATGTTACCAGGCTTCCATCCACTACTTTTTACTTTTCACTTCCCCCAATCGACGCCTTTCTGCATATTTTTGGAACCTCTGCATGTGAATCACTTGCCCATCTCTTGTGTTGCATTTCACAGCCGCACAGCAGACCATTTATGTCATTTAAACACACATCAAATTATAGGCTATTATGGAGACAATTCTTTTCAGATGGGTAACTTAATGGCGTCCACATGGCACGTGACTACCATTAGCCAATCAGAATCTTGACACAGGTTGGTCAGACTCTCTCTATATAAGGCTCTGGTACCACTCATTTTGCGAGAGGTGTCAATTTCGAGTAATTATATCAGTATTCAATTTGAAAGAAAACTACATCCCGTGTATTCCCCACGTATTGTAAATAAAATGTAAAAGAATAAATACACGTAAACGTATGAGAAATCAAAGTAAGAATTCCCATAAAATATTATTGTCTATATCGCGTGTGTCTATATAAATCAAGTTTATTGGTTAATTTCCTTGTGTGTCCGCTTTGACAAAAATAGTAACACACGATAAAAAGCAGACTAAATTGTTTTCTGACGAAGAAATGACAATTAAAATGAGTGGGACTTCGGAAGCCACTGCCAAGAATTGGCTTCAGACAAAGACACAAGCAAAAATCTACATCACATTCAAAAACTGTCACAGCTACCTGTAGCAGTGCTAAAGAAATTTAAGAATGAAATCTAATCATTTGTTACGAATTAAAGTATTATCTTGTTATTTAGTTGTATGTTGAAACTGAAAAACTGCTAATCAATTTTTATACGCCCACATTTAAATGTGGTCGTATATTGTCGTCGCCCCCGTCCGGCGGTCCGGCGTCCACAATTGCTTGTGGACGCTCTAGAGGCTAAAGTTAATATCCGATTGACTTTAAATTTATACACAGTGTTTAAGGTCTTGAGACGAAGACGCCTATTGATTTTCAGCGATTTCCAATAATAACTGCCAGAGTTATGGCCCTTGATCACGTCAAAAAATCTTTTGGACGCTCTAGAGGCCAAAGTTAATATCCGATTGATCTTAAATTTATACACAGGGTTTAAGGTCATGAGACGAAGAAGCCTATTGATTTTCAGCAATTTCCGATAATTACTGCCAGAGTTATGGCCCTTGATCACTTCAAAAAATCTTGTGGACGCTCTAGAGGTCAAAGTTAATATCCGATTGTCTTTAAATTCATACACAGTGTTTAAGGTTATGAGCCGAAGACGCCTATTGATTTTTAGCAATTTCCGATAATTACTGCCAGAGTTATGGCCCTTGATCACTTTGAAAAATCTTGTGGGCGCTCTAGAGGCCAAAGTTAATATCCGATTGACTTTAAATTCATACACAGTGTTTAAGGCTGACCTTAAAAATATCTTTGTTTCGCCTAACGCGACCGACTTACTAAAACAACCCCCAACTTAAATTATTTTATTGCACTTTTCCACGATCTTTTTATTTTATTTTGTGTGTCAACCTGAAATATATCATGAGAGTTATTTCCCTTTACTATGGCTAAGGTTTGATTCATTATTGAAACTGGTTGATCAAGACGAAAGCATCATAGGTGTCGCTTCTCAACAAAATGGTTGCAGACGAAAGATCGTCCATTCCCACGAAATGATTCTGCCTCTATGTCTGTGGTGCGTCGTTTTAAACATGACGACGATATTTTCAATATCCGTTTTCGAGAAGAATGAAGGCACAACCCGCACGATCGTTAAAAACGTGTTGAAGGAGTTTCACACTTCAAGTTCGTGGCAAATCGTGTGCGAGTCGTGCATCACGATGTCATTGATTTGTTTGCCAATAAAGAAGACAAATGTTTCCACCCGGAAAATTATCAAGCTGTCAAATTAGCTCTTAAGTTTAATTAAAACTTTAAGTTTGTTACTTTTTACATCAGACCCAAAATTCATTAAACAAAATTAATGAATCTGTAGTATACAGCTAATAAGTTTTCTGTATTGATTTCTCTGACTTTAAAAAAAAAATCTGAAGAAAAAAAACGACCTACTGACCCTTCTCCTCGATTGTGGGTCGGGTTTGGTGAAACAAAGATATTTTTAAGGTCAGCCTAAGGTCATGAGACGAAGAAGCCTATTGATTTTCAACGATTTCCGATAATTACTGCCAAAGTTATGGCCCTTGATCACTTTGCAAAACCTTGTGACGCTCTAAAGGCTAAAGTTATCATCCGATTGACTTCAGATTGATACACAGAGTTTAAGATCGTGAAACTAACAAGTATATTGATTTTCAATGAATTTTTATGACTTGTAACAGCTAAATCCATGATATTAAAAGTTTTGTATACAAAACGTTGGCATGGGGCAGAACTTTATAAAAAACAAACAAATTATAATGGTTTTCTGAGTTGTTGCTCTTAATCAGATTCTAGTGTATTATAAATGTTTCATTACCGAAAAAAGTAAAAATATGCGACAACTCTTGTTGACTGCCCGGACGATTTAGCTGCTCTGGGCGTATGTTACGTTGCCTGGCAACCTATCTTTAAATTTGACAAAATTGGACTTTTTGATTACCAACAGCCCTGATTGTAGGCCATAGAAAGTATAAAGAAACGAAATATAGATCTGTATTTTAATCAGATTGGTAAAATTGTAGAAATGATAAATATGCGTGACTGTGAGTTGCATGAAACGTACTCAAATAGAAAAGATCTTATTGAAATAAGTGTAGGAAAAAATGTAAAATAAATAAATAAATGTTGTGTACATGTATGTGTGTTTTATTTGTTACTGTATCCAGGGTGTTCGGGTAATAGATAATGGGCCTGTCCATGTTATATGTTTTGTTTGTTTCAGTATCCAAGGTGTACAGGTGATAGATAATAGGCCCGTCCATGGTATATGTTTCATTTGTTACAGTATCCAGGGTGTACGGTAATAGATAATGGGCCTGTCCAATGTACATGGTATATGTTTTATTTGTTACAGTATCCAAGGTGTACAGGTGATAGATAATGGGCCCATCCATGGTATATGTTTCATTTGTTACAGTATCCAGGGTGTACGGGTAATAGATAATGGGTCTGTCCATGATATATGTGTTATATTTGTTACAGTATCCAGGGTGTACGGGCAATAGATAATGGGCCTGTCCAATGTCCATGGTATATATTTTATTTGTTTCAGTATCCAGGTTGTAGGGGCGATAGATAATGGGCCTGTCCATTTTATATGTTTTATTTGTTTCAGTACGGTATCCAAGGTGTACAGGTGATATGTTTTATTTGTTACAGTATCCAGGGTGTACGGGTAATAGATAATGGACCTGTCCATGATATACATGTATGTTTGATTATATTTGTTTCAGTATTCGTTGTGTAGGAGCAATAGATCATGGTTCTACCCATGGTATATGTTTTATTTGTTTAAGTATCGGGTGGGTATACAGACAATAAATAACTGGTCGATATTTAATTCATTTCAGTATACGGGCAATAGATAAAAGTTCTGTACATCGTATATGTTCTGGTCAGGTTGTATTAACTCTGGCTGTAGGTGTGAAAGAACTGGTAGAGAATAGTATAGATGCAGGAGCTACTTCAGTAGGTAAGTCTTTTCTCTTTTTTTTGGGAGTCATGGTGGATCGATGAGAAAGACTTTCACTTGCTAACTTGGAGGTCCCATATCCGATCCCTGCGTTGACCTAGAAATGAAATGAAATGAAATGGGGTTTAACGTCTTACTGTTCTGCTCCTATACTGGGCTAATGAAGATGGACATACGCCATGCAGTGTGCTGTGAGGGAAATTTTACCTGGGCACTATGGCCTTCTCTTAAATAGAATTCCAACTGCCAAGGGATCTTTTACGTGCATGCCAATGTAAACACAAGACCTTGGTTTTTCATCCAATCTGAACAACTAGACAGCTGTCCTTGTCTGGCCATCTGTCCTGCACCACTGACATGGGGAAAGCATGATTAACTTTCTCAGCAGGGATCAAACATGCGACCTCCATGCTAACGAGCCAGCGTCTTACCCACTTAGCCACAGTGGCTCCTGTGAGATGAGGGAATGATGAATTAAACTATTTTCTTTCATCATGTCATGTATTCTTCACCATGATGGAGGCCCAGGGAAACAAGTTGGTCCAAGGGTCCAGGGAAACAAGTTGGTCCAAGGGTCCAGACTACAGAGCTACCAAGTCCGCCACTGTTGACAAGATGTTCAACTACATGCACATGATATGCTAACAACATCTAATCAGTTTTGCTTCAATCACTTTCAGAAAATCTGTATTTTCAATTTGTGAGTTTAAGATAAAACTAGAAAACTGTTGCATGCAATCAATCCCTGAGAGGCTTGGATTTGAGATAACCAAATAAATTTTTAAAATTATTTAAAAGCGATTAGGACCAAACTGTTAAAATATGTAATTTCTTTTAATAGTTACCATAGTGATTAAATTAAAGATAGGAATATTCAAATTATTTAAATAGTTACCATAGTGATTAAATTAAAGATAGGAATATTCAAATTATTTAAAAAGTTACCATAATGATTAAATTAAAGATAGGAATATTCAAATTTTTTAAAGCGATTTGGAGCAAACTGTTGTATGATTTAATTTGTTTTAATAGTTGTCTAGAAATATGTGGGAACCATTTCGGAAAATCTAGGTATTTCGGAAAATCGTGATGAACTTTCTAGGTCAACGGGGAGCCACGGTGGCTAGCACGCTGGCTCACTAGTCTGAAGGTCGGGTGTTCGATCCCTGCATTGGCTGAGAAAGTTCATCGGGATTTTCCGACGTGGTTTCCCCTTGTCAGTGGTGCAGAACGGAGGGCTTGACAAGGACAGCTGTCTAGTCCTTCAGATGACATGAAAAACCGAGGTCCCGTGTATACATTGGAATGCACGTAAAAGATCCCTTGGCAGTTGGAATTCGATATAAGAGTAGACGATAGTGCCGCTGCCCGGGCAAAATTTTCCTCATAGCACACTGTATGGCGTATGTCCGTCTTCATTAGCAGGGATCGGATATGGGATCTCCAGGTTAGTAAGTCAAAGTCTTTCTCATCGATCCACCATGACTCCCAAAAAAAAGAGAAAAGACTTACCTACTGAAGAGGTCCCATATCCGATCCCTGCGTTGACCTAGAAATGAAATGAAATGAAATGGGGTTTAACGTCCTACTGTTCTGCTCCTATACTGGGCTAATGAAGACGGACATACGCCATGCAGTGTGCTGTGAGGGAAATTTTACCTGGGCACTATGGCCTTCTCTTTATTAGCCCAGTCGTGGCAGAGTAGGACATTAAACAGCATTCCATTTTTATTTCACCTAATGTCTCTTTATTCTAAACTGCAGATCGATCTCTCAATTCAGGGCTAGAAATTCAGGTGAATCTCCGAATCTGATTCGCGTTAGGATTCTTGCAAGAGCTTATGTTGCGAATCCTTGTAGATTCGCGTAAAATTTTTCTAAAAAAAAAATCTCAGAGAATTGTCGACTCCGACTATTGAATGTTGGTCAGTATCGGCTGTATTTTGTCGGCTTTAGCCTACTGACATTTAATCTAGGCGATTGGTAAAACAATGAATCCATCACTATAGTATCATAAATCAATCTACTTTTGGCTAAATTACAATGGGGTAATTATTACTTGTTAATAAAAAAAAAAGTCAATCAACTTGCTTGTCGTCTACAAAACAGTCATACCTCATATGGTTCTTAATCCGAGCAATTAGCAAATTTAACAGTGATTTTGACAATCGGTTAAAAAAAACAAAACACGCTTGCTGATAATTCATAAAAGGTTCAGTAAAATACTCCATGTGGCGAATAAAGACGATCTCGGCATGGTTTGCGAATCGCACGTCTCCTACGCCCCGTCCGTGTGAATCCCAGGTACAGGTAGATATTACAATAATAACTGAATCATACATTGATGGATTCACTGACCAGTTGTTAGGTAAAATTAAATCTTCATTGAATATAATCCCCTGGTAGAACACTGAATAAACGGAAAGAGAAACAGTGGGTATTTTCCCAACAGAATCTCAACCAGATCTAAATAGCGTTTATACACATGCTGACAGAGGCTTAATTTTTAAAATATTATTGAAGCTATATCATAGTTGTACGAATTTTATTTTATAGCAATTTCAATTGTGGTTGGCATGTGATCATTGACGAATGAATAAAAACTTTTGCAAGTTACGTTATGGACAAAAGACTACAAATTGTGCTATGAAGAAATGCCATGGTGCCATATCAACTTATTTTGACTAAGGCATTTTCTGGATATTACTTTTGACACTATTTAAGTGTTTACCAAAAAATCCATATGATTGTTCTATTTTTATCATTGTTCTTGTATTTTGATGTTTTAGATTAACACAATAAATAAAATCTTGTTTTTTTAGACAGTATTATTAATTAAGATTCGGAGGATTCGCGCAGATGCCATATATGAGAATCTTCTTTGATTCTCGCAAAAAATGAGGAATTTCTAGCCCTGCAATTTTATATGAATAATCTTTACCTTATTGGAAATTTGGGAGCCGTGGTGCCCGAGTGAGTCGATGATCAGACACAGGTTCATTAACCTGGCAGAGAAAGTTCCTAATGATTTTTGCAGCATGATTTTTCCTTGCCTAGGGGGAACCACAACAATGTGAAATGAGTTCAGCAATTGCAGGTTAAGGAAATATAAAAATATAGTGATATTAATTATTAAAATATAGGAAAGTAGTACCAGTGACCTGATAACATTTATCTGGCGTACTAAGTAATGACTGTCTACACGCACGCAATCTACTGTACATGTAGCATCTGCTTTGTTTTATTGATATTTGCTTCGTAAGAGGCTGGTGGACGTATCATAAGGTCATTGAGTCAACTGGCGGGGTTTCGATTCCCTGGTTGTACGTGACAAGGAGTAGGGTCGCCTGTCAAACCTTGTGGGTTTTCTGAGGGTCCTCCAGTTTCCTCCCACTGCTAAAGACCCCTACGTGCAAGAGAATTATTGAAATAAAATTAAACTATATGTTAGTCCCAAAATTATCCACTTTTTGTCGAATGGACGTTAAACCCCATGTGTCTCTGCTCCTACTGGGCTAATGAAGTCGGGCATGTGCCATTCAGTATGCTATGAAGGAAATTTTGCCCGGATAGCGGCACTACGGTCTACACTTAAATCGAATTTCAACTGCCAAAGAACATTAAGGTGCATGGCAATTTGTACACGAGACCCCAGGAACAAAAATGGGTCTAACAGCACATATTAATGTAATGTGAATTATATAAGTGATTTGTATTCGATTTTTAAAAAATATATTGTAGTTTCTAATCAATTATTTTTAGTGAAATATGTGAACAGTCCAAATTGAACGGCAGTCATTTGTGTCTGCTTAGTTCATTCTACACATTTTTTTTTTTATTAATTGTCGTTTTCGAATGCGTCAATACTAATCACTTAGGCTTTGTCTTGTGGGATATTTTTTTCTTTGTTATTTACAAATGGCACCCAAAACATTCGAGTACACGACTTGTTTACTGATTTTAAAATGTTCATTGTGTCTTAAATATTGTATATATTAAAGTGCACATAAGATGGGCCTGGAAACTTTGAGATAGGTGTAGCCAATGGTTACTATATCCACTTTACGGCAAGTTCACGCCAATCTGGTTGAAATTAATTCAGTTAACTTCACTCAAAGTTGTAAAAATAGACCTTCCGTAAAAACGACTTTGCCAATTATCGAAAACACTCTTAATCCCCTCAGACGCCAGTGACGTCACAGTGACCGAATGCATATTCGGAATGTTTATTCCTTAATTACCTATATACAGCCGGCGTGTGTATTCTTTACCGCCTGAAGGATTCCTTAATTCCCCCTAATTAAATAAAACAATTGACTACGGAATAATTTGTTTTGTAATTCATTTTAATTTAAGATCCAATTTAGAGCTCCTACAACTTTTAAACTTTGAAGTTTTGAACTCTTAATTAATTTTTTATAATATGGAACTTATTTGACCAACACTTTTAATATGTAAATAATATACGGGTCCAGGTATGTGGTTTTTACTGCGAGCACTTCGCTTTTCCACATAAAGTGTAGTGTCGTTAATATCTGTCAATAATTAATCAATCCGACTATAAAAGTTATACAGGCATGGGTTATAAATTAATTTACACGTTGGTGTTAGCAGTGAGTGTTAGTGGGATTAAGAATGTTGATTAGGTAATTATCTTTTTTTACGCCGGCCAGATCAAAGACATCACTCTAAGTGGAACGTGTGCGTAATACCTCACGAACGAACTAATGGTAGAATCATACACACACACATTCATTGTATAAAATAATTAAGTTTTACTAATAAGTTGTTTAAAATTACTATATACCCAATAATTATTGCTCACCAGTGTTTTTGTAATCAAGTAGCCTCGTATTATTTGTTCATTGGCGTTTAAACAACATTTAATTGATGGATGGATTAACGTTTTTGATACGATTAGGTTATAATGTCTAACATCGGTTATCTTCTCTATAATAAAAGTATTTTACAATTGCATTGACAGTTTAATCATTCATCAA